TGATTTGTATATGATATCATGTGTTTTTGGTAAGTCATATGTCAGATAGGGAATCAACAAAAGAGAACACACTTGACTCATCTTTTGGTGATGGAATTTAGTTTGAAAGCAGCATTGAATTACAGTACGAAAACCATATCACCTTTCATCATGTCATGCCACAGTACAGCAATGAGGTAGTTCCACAGCTGTTGACCGTTGCCACCACATAATGTACCACATTGGTTGACTGCTCTATGTCAAGCCTATGAGACAGCAGCTTATAATTTATGAATGACTGGTAACAACTGATTTAACAATGCCAAAGGATTATCAACTGCAAGAATGTCATTGCACCACAATGGTTATACCAGGGTTGACTATCACTTGCATAAATATTCCTAAGCAAAGAAAAACATTCTTGGTAGCTCAACCTTACCATCTTTACCATAGCAATAGCAATGCCTTGGCAACTAATTTATAGCAGCGCTACAAATTTATTAATTTTCGCGTGACACCGCATTTCCCATCGCAAACAATGAAGACGGTAACTACTGTGCACATCACATGATATCTATGTCAGGACTACAGCACTACAGGCAACGATGGGTCAACAATAAAGTATAGGCAAAATCATCTACAGCATAGCAGCAACAGCAGCAGCACAGCATATCGTGCTCTGATATTAATAATCTGCCATAGAAGCTGGCGATCGTTAGGTTGCGTATGTCAAACAGTTCACCAAAGCTCTTCTTACGGCCAGCACCAAGACCAAAAATCCACAAACAAACCACCCACTAGTCCGCCACCCGACACAGCCCCCTCGACGAAAATGGCCGGTTGGTGTCAGCTTTCGTGTGTTTCGAGGTATTCTTTAGGTCTGGCTGCCAGATGTTGTCAGGTATCGCCGTCGTCACCAGACCATTCCATGACGCCATCAGACAACAACGGAATGGGGCGCATTTTACAAACTTTAAGATTTTGCTACTTAGTGTCGTTTTTTAACCTTGAAAGCTTACCAGCAGTGACAAATGAGGTTGTCCCATCACATCTGATGTCTACCTCATTATTTTCAAATGTGGAACATTGCCTTTAATCGCCACAGCCGCACCAAAGACTCCGCTTGCCAAGCACTGCCAACTTTTGGTACAACATCCCAAATCCGGTCTTGCTCCAATTCTGGTATGATTAGAGTACATCTTGATACCAACTAGGCAAAACTTTGGAGTACCCAGTTGTCTAGTGCCCTGGGCTACTTTAAGGTAGGCTAAGTTGGTTGATTGCATGACAAGTGGCAGCAGGAATTGTGCGAGAATCAGTGACTCACAAATGTTGCTGTGATACAAACAGGTTAGGCAGGATCAGATGAGGTTAGACAGGATGGGGTTTATGATATTACATCCATGTCATCTCGAAATGCATGTCTTTGTTCGCAGAAGCATCTCTCATAAGCCCATAAGTTCCTTTTGTGAATTGAATTTTCCACTCTCGTACCGTCTTTGCGATGGAACAGCATCTGTTCCCGGACGGACCCAGTACCCGTTACGCTGTAGAACTGGTTGCAGCGTGGTCTATGTGTGCTGCGGCAGTTCGCGGACCAGTGCGATGCTCCGGAACAAGCTGTGTATGCCGAAATCGCACCTGCTGTTCTGCCGGATGGCGGACCATACCGGCACATAGTGGCCAACCACGCACTGGACGCAGTCCTTGAGAGCGCTGCTGGAGGTCTCGGTAGAGATGTAGCCTGGGAGCAGGCGAGAGGCCAGCGTCAATCATCTGAAAACAAAAGTGAATATATTGGAGGAATTCGCTACGAACTGAGCTTTAGATCATGCAAAAGTTGCTGCGTGTCTTTAGTGCCATGCTGATATCCAGAGTCCTTAAATGGGGCTGAATACTTATCGGCAAATCTACTAGTAAGCATGACTCGAAGAACAAATAATACCACATAATACGGCACAAAGTATGATAATAAGTAAATGCTCAACAGTGAGCACACGGAATATCAATTGATACTTGATGAAGTTTCAGCACTCATTGCTATAAATTCGAGGAAAATGGGTCTGCATTTTTACCTGACGTTGTTTGATGGTTCGATTCGCCGCTGGGCTGCAACGTTGCGGACAGAGCCGTTTTGAACGTCGGGGCCCAGAAGGTACAGCACCTGCTAGTTGGTGCTCAACTACTGAATTAGGTCGACCGGCAGGTTTGGCACGTGCCCCGACATAGGCCTGAATGCAACAACGTCCCTCTCCCAGATTTCTCCGGCACAGGCCTCGTCGATGGGTCCAGAAAAAATTCGATCCGTGGTCATGTCATTCAAGCTCAGCAGCAGACGGAGGAGGTTCAGCTGGTTGCCGTGCAGCTAGTAGATGAACCAGCGTACGGGTGACTCAGTGGCCAGCTTAAACAGCCGGAGCACGTCCCTATCGTCTCGGCGTTGACGGCCGTGCCATCGTAGCCGAGCACATTGACGTGACCGTCGCACTGCGGGCTCACGGAGTGTATCTCGTTGAGCAAGTGCAAGTGCAGCTGAACTCGGACGTAAAATGGCGTAGTAGCAGTGCCTGGCTCAGCGATGACAACCGCGTGCTTTTCGACGGCATTCGCGTGGCTGTGTGTGGTTCATGTAGTTCCCGCCATCGCGGTTGAATGAAGCTTGTTGAATCTCGCGGTGGCGGCGTTGCTGTGCCGCTCTCTTTCTTTGAATCCTTGCTAATAGCTCCGTTGGGATGATATCAATCCCTCTCGACCAATTTTGTCACGTATTTTAGATCGTGAACAGGGATCGCTTCGTTGGTCCACAGTTCCCTGATATCTACCGGCATGGTCTTGAAGATGGTATTTGTGAGATTCCTCTTCGATTCGCTCAGCCGCCTGATGTAGCTAAAGGGTTTCCCGTATTCGGCGGTTGGTGGTGGAACAGTGGAGCCGAGTGATATATCCCAAAATATTTTGTGCGCGACCGTGTAGCTTTTGGCATGCTTATTTAAGTAAATGTTCGAAAGAAAGGTTCCAGTGCCGGCAGAACTAAACAAACAAACCCATATCGCCCATACAGCAAGCATATAGGTTGCAAATCAACATCACAGTGGTGCGTTAACAATCGCAAACTTGGGCCTACCTGTCTGCTGGAACATTTTCATAACTGCACAGCTTTGGGTTTTTACCAAAAATTAATGTCCTTTTATGAAAAAGTCAGCTTGAAACCTGTTCGGCGATGCTTTCCTGATGCTCTTCATGATATATATTTCATACTTAATCGCCCAGGCACCAGCATTGTGGAAAGTTGTAAGTTTGAGGCTTGTTGGACGATCCCAGAACGTAATATGGGTGGCGCTAGTGTCGAATACGGAATTTTTGGCATATTAAAGCAAAACGGCTCTCGCGTCACGAATATCAGCACTCGTGGGGTGCGACAGACCTGAAAGTTTATAATTAATCCATGTGCCAAGTAAAAGTTTTGTCTTAGTTGATTCCAAGAGATTCACCCCCTCGATGACACATTCTAGTGTGGAATGAGTCTGCTGAGTTCACAGCAGCCGCCTTTTTGGCGCGTGGCCTGGGATCACTGTGGAGCCTGCTGAAGTTGTGGCGAATCGTCTGGCCCAGAATGTGTGGAGCTTGCCAAGGCTTCAGTGGCCAGCTTAGGACGCATGAGTTAAACTGTGTGATGAGCGTGCTGAGCTCACAGGGGCCACCTTAGAACGCGTGGTCCGGGCTCTGTATGGATGTTGTTGAGGTCAAAGTGAGAGTCGTCTCCTGGCTGTGCACCTGAGGCCTGCTTTGAAAACATCGCGCCAACCACTGCGGTTCATAACTAGTGAATCACAAGCTGTTCGGCCAAGCTCAGCCGTGACGTCCAGACGCAGGATTCGGGACGGTTCAATCTTCAGGTTGGCCCGACTCGAGGGCCGTCTGCATCTACGGGTGGGTGACACAGATACTGGCGACGGCAAAAGCGCGAGAACAGTGAGTCTGGCACCACCTGACCCAGGGTGTCACTTTCAATGCTTTTGGGGAACCTGAGCCGCCCCCTCCCCCCTCCCCCTCCCTCGCAATGCATATGAGTAGAGAAAACACTCTGCCCAACAAATACAATACAATTATTTTAACTATTGACATACTAGCTGGTAGGCTTATGAACATGTCAGTTTTAGTTTTGCGTTTATTTTGTACCAAGCAGTATCCTGTGGGTACCTGATATTTTTGTTTTGTCAACTCCTACATAACATTTCTGCAAATTTTGACAATTGTTTTCAGGTGATAGCGCCTGGATTGGGATAAGGAGCAATTAAATGCAATATAGGACGGTTTTTAGAGGAACAGGATGGTAATGATAAGAGTTAACGCATGTTTTCACCCAACAGTGGAGAGTGTATTTGCCTCACAATTGTGGCTGTGATGGTTGTGCCACACGATCAACGACAGCGGTGACCCATGATTGCTATCAGCGATCCTTACCAGATGTATTATTTGTTCTGTGAATTACACCTTATTCTAAGTTTTTTTTCGAAAAGGCATCTCTCATGGACATGAATGGAGAAATGATTCCTTCTCACGAAAAGGTTGATTCTCCAAAATATCACAAGTTTTTAGAAAAATTGAATATCAAGTTATCAAGCTCAAGTGGTCGAAATCCGGGACGAAATGAGGTGACGGGGGGGGGGGGTAGCCTTTTCGGCTGAGCCCTCCCCCCCCATCAAGTTTAGAAAGTGACACCCTGATCTGACGTGAACAAGATAACATTTGTCGACGACATCGGAATGAATTAAAAAAAGACTAGCTATTAATTCCATGGTTTACACGCAATATCCAAGGTGAATGAAGCCAACAGGTGAGCAACGATTCTGTTCGGAACATTGAGCGGCGCTCGGCGCCTCCTGCGAGGGCTCCAGTGACGTCACGCTAATGTTAAGCGGATGAGGTGCGTAAACCGCCGGATAATCCTGCTACTTTTATGCGGCCTTGGTCAGCATCTCGTACCGGCAGGTAAGGTAATGTGTTCGATGTTCCCGGTTATGTGTGGTTCAACCACAGATCATTGCCTGCTGATAGCAGTAATGTGTGTTGTCCATACTGCATTCTAGCAGGTGAAATAGGAAGGAAGATTGTGCGAGGGCAATTGACGCTGCTTTATCCTGCTAGATATTCGCGCGAGGGGTCCCGGCCCACGTGCGTGTGTGGAGTGTTGTATGCGGTAAGCAGTGCGTATTGCTGCGGACGTCTTTTCAAAGTGGCTGGTTATGGTCAAAATTGGCGGAAGCATCAATCGAAGGTCGTCAAACGAAATGAGGGGATGTCGTTGCTGATCAATTGATGATTAGTAGGCAAAAGCAGAGGCTTGCTTTGAAACATCTGGATGTGATATGCAAGCACACCAGTAAAGTGACAGCGGTGGTGTAAGCCAACATCTGCTATCTCTGTTTACCACACCATACCATCTACCATCTCAACATCTACCATCACTAGGCGCTTAAGGTATAATCGTAACTCGTGGGTAGGATATCACTTTTATAATCACTTATGGCACTTTTGTCTTCAACAAAGCCATTTACATACCATATTTTGTTTAAGGGAATCATGGTGTGGCTGAGGTAGTACCAAGCAAAGCTTGGTCAGTTTTCTCAAGTAAAAATGGCAAGAAAATGTAATGTATTTGGCCTAGTGCATGCATGCTCCATGTTCAGTGCACCAAGGTCACCTAGGTGTCTAGAGCAGCAGTAAATAGATATTTTGCAGACTGGATGTCATGTGGCATCATGTAATAAGTGAATTATTAGGCCCAAATGGCAATAACTAAACCTGAGTTTCTGGTCTAACAGTGGGTGTCAAAAGAGTCATTGTCTTGGCACCACTGTCAAAGGAACTCATCAAGGTGCATGGGGTAGGTTGGTGGACATAAACAGGTCTATTTAATTGCCACTTTTGCTTGCCTGACTGGGTAAGTATGATATACCTAAGTATTCAAAAGAAAAGTGAAGGTGTTCTGGAACACCTAAGTTGTGCAAACAAGTTTTGATTGTTAAGTGATTGGTGCTCTGTAATATTATATTTGGGGTTTTTGCAATTCAGTGCATCTATTTGGTTTGATGCATTGAGGTATCTTACAAATAGCAAACTAGCCTTGGTCTGGTTACAACATTTATAAGACTTCTGAATATGCCAGGTGTATGCAAGCATACATAGGAAGTGTCAACTCAACATCCTAAAGCACATTCTAAACTACTGTTGTAAGTTGGGATGTTTCTCTGCATGTCCCATCAGTTTTCATAATGGTTCAAAAAATATATCTTTTCTAACAATCTGACCAACAATCTGGTCAGGAAAGCAGGGTAAAGCTTAGGCCCTTGGACAGTTTGCTGAGTGATCATAGTCCTTTCATATCATACTACATCAACCCCTGTGTGTGGTTCCAAGTTATTATTTTCATGTGTTGTCCCTCTAAGTGGTGTCATAAACAGCTGTGTGGCAATGTTTTTGAGATTGGGGAACAGATCACAAGGGGGGTTTCAAACTGGGATGGGTGACAGCTTGACCGGAAAATGATATCTCAAGATGGGAAAGTGTATGTGAAAAAGTATTGTATGAGCAATAGTGGGTACAAAATCGCACTTCAGGGGAATTGTGGGGGCATACCCCCCACCCCACTCCTGATGCCGGGTGGTTACAGCTATGGTCATGGGATGATGAGTCGCAAGGAGCGCGATGATGTCTTAACGCGACCTCACTGCCATTGGTTACGAAAGGACGCACGTTGCGGGCGCGCACGTCCTGTTGAGGCGGTATTGACCGGGTAACAGTGCCCCTCGCTCCGAAAGCCGGGCGACCAAGCGACTCTGAAGTGTTTCGCCAAGCTCTTCCGGCCACGTCGCATAACTGCGCCGTAATTTCGAGAATCCTCTGCGCTATTCATTGTGCATGGTTTGGTGTGTACACATGTATCGGTAGGTGCTTTAGGGCGCATTGCGTAGCAGTTTTCCACCCGCGCGGGCGGCGGCCGGCGGCCGGCCGCTCGCCGGTGGCTGTCTGACGCTGTCAGTGGTACATAAACGGAAACCTATGTCGTATTTGCTCAGATCACAATGGCAGTGACAGTGTCATAGTGACATAATCACAGTGATAAACGGAAACCTGTGTCGTAAGTGCTTGGCCAGACTACGCAAGAATGTGTATCTATATAGTCAATATCAAACAGAAAGCACACCAGTATAAGGTTTACGTTGCTGCGTTGCATTGTTTCGTAAATGCCGGAATTTAAAACCGAAATAGTCTGGTTTGCGTGGAAATTTATGTTTGCCTCGGCCTAATGGGATCAGTTACCGGTCTAGCGACAGATATGTGTAACCAATACCGAGAGGTCCCTGGGGCCAGTCAGCTGCTATATTATTTTTGTCGTGCGCTACATTTCTTAGGTTGGAAATGGCAACGGGGTGACATCAATTCCCTCCCCACCCCTATCCGCTCGCGTTATGAGGAACGGTTTACCTAGACGAGAGTTAAACTGTGCCTTGATATCAACACATTGATGATATGCCCGCACGCAAAGTGAACTGAGTTGAGAAGCACTTTCAAGTTATTCGTGGCCGCGCACCGCCTGGTGCGTTGCCAGCCGGAACCTCATCCAGACTGCGCTCAATGTGCGTCAGTGTCGGGCGCGAGATGATCGCGGAGACAGGGCCAGGAAGACAGGGTATCCTGTATCCAAGACGTCATCATTGTGGACGTCGCGGCAGGTACACTTCGCATTGTGAAAAGACCCCTTTACCATTAATGTGTTGTCCTATCCTCTGCCTCAGTCTTAGTGGACGAGTCCCAATCCGGATCGCATGTACCATTGCGCCTCTTCTCCTGCACTGCTGGTTGCCCAGCTTTCGTTCAGCCCAGCCCCTCCTCGATGTCGTGCGAGCTCTCCGAGCACCTCGCCTGCCTCTGCGTGCTGATGGAGCTGGCAATACCGCCGCTGCTGAGCTTGGGCAGGGTGCCACTGGCTCATGATGCATGTCCGGGTGCACCTGCTGACACAGGACGCATTCGCTGGTCGCCGGTTGCTGGTCGTCCGTGGTCTTGTGGTGTGGTGTGGTGTGTGCTGCTCGGGCTTGGTGTTGGGTCGCTGCTTTGTGCATGTCTGGGTCGCCCGCCGTCGTCGGTGTCGCCTCACGCCGGGCCCTGTGTTGCCCCAGCTCCAGCACCGTCCCAGCACCGCCTCAGCTCCAGCACTGTCCCAGCTCTAGTCCCAGCTCCGTCCGGACGCCGCGCGCCATGCACGAGTGCGGCGACACACTGGACGCGGCGGCGGCGCAGGCGCGGCGCGTGCTGAAGGAGAACCAGTCGCGCGCCGACAAGCTACAGAACGTGCTGTGCATTCTGCAGGGCAAGCAAGATGCGGCCAAGCGGCGCCTGGAGGAGGCCGTGGCGCGCCCCGGCGAGGCCGTCCAGGCCTGGAAGGCCGCCTTCCGCCAGGTGATCGACTCCGAGTTCGTGCACAAGGCGGACCTGCTGCACGGCCAGCTGGCGGTGGTGCGCCGGGCCTCGGTGGGTCTGCACGCGGGACTGGATCGCGTCGAGGCGCTGCGCTTCAGTCCACGCGTCGGTGAGGCGGCGCCGGCCGTCGCCGACCTGCTGGCGCGCTACGTGGCCGAGAGCCGCGAGGTGCAGCCGGACCTCCTGCTCGACTTCGCCTTCCGCGAGGTGCCGGCCGACCGGTGGGCGCGCTCGCGCGTCGCCGTCGGCTACCTGCAGACGGGCGCGCTGGCGCCGACCGAGCTGACGCTGGAGGAGGTGGCGGCCGACGCCGGCGGCGCCACGCTGCGCGCTCGCTCGGAGCGCCCGCACGATCCGACGACTGTCACGCACCTGTCGTACAGTGTGCTGGACGCCGAAGGCGCCGAGGTCACCGACGTCATCTGGGTGGACGGCCGTGACGGCACGTACACGGTGACGTTCCGCGTCACGCGGCCTGGCGCGCACGTGGTCTCCGTCTACCTCTACAACGTGCACGTGACGGGCAGTCCGTACCGCGTGCGTGTGGAGGCGGCGGCCGGCGCGTGTAGGCCGTCCGAGCGGCGGGACGCGGCGGCGCAGACCGAGGCGTCGCCGCCGGCCGCCGCTGGCGAGCAGGGCGGCTTCGTGGGCTGGATGCGCTCGAAGCTGGAGCGTGAGTTGGCTCGGCCCAGCCCGCAGATGGTGTTGCCGCAGGCTGGCGCCGTCGCCGCCACGCCGGTGCGGCGCCCGCGGCTTGACGCCAACGACAACGAGCTGCCGCCGGCGGCTGACTGGAACGCGCACCTGTTCGATCCGCCGGCCGGGCCCGACGGGTCGCCGCCGAAGCCCCGGCTCGGTGGCGGCGACGGCGGCGACGACGACGACGACGCGCCCGACGATCACTGCCACCTGGAGGAACACAAACCGGGGAGGACGCGTGACGAGGCCTTACGCCGCCGCTCTCCGTTGCCCAAGCTGGAGCGGAGCCCTGTCGCGATCAAGGACGAGGGAATGGAGCGACCCTCGTGTTGGCCGGGCAGCGCGCATGCCGAGCCGGTCTCGCTGCACGTCGCGGTGCAGGGGCGGGGCATGGTGGATTATTGTCCGCGGCGCGTGGAGATGGCCATGGGCGACGCGCCGCGGGTGCAGCCGGCTCCGGCGGCCGCTGCCGTCGTCAGAGACGCGACGCCAGAGCGGCCCGCCCGCCTGGTAGTCACCACCGGCGGCGGGCAGAAGCCGACGCCGCCCCGCGTTGTCACCTTCATTGCCGGCTTCGCCTCGCCGAAGTCGAACCCGGAGACGGCCACCGTCAACGGCACTCAGAAGCCGCAGCCGCGCGGTAGTGGCGGCGGCGGTGGCGGACGTCACGTGCGCGCCGTGCGCGTGAGCTCGGACAACCTACGCGCGGCGACCGGCGTTGGCCTGGCCGCCGGCCCGGTCACGGCCACCCTCGACCTACTGCTGCGCCCGACGCGGCCCTTCGACCGGCCGATTGGCGTGGCTCGAGACGGTGACGTCATTTACGTGGCCGACACAGGCAACAACGTGGTGCGCGCGTTTGCACCGGACGGTGCCGAGCTGGCGCCGGTGGCCGAGTTGCGCCGGCCGTCGGCGCTGGCGCGCCTCAGCGGCGGCCGCCTGGCCGTGCGCTTCGACCACGGCGTGCGCGTGTACTCGGTCATTAGCGGTGCTATGCTGCTGCAGGTGGGGGCGGGCTTGCTGCGCCGGCCGTTCGGCCTGGCCGTCACGGAGCGCGAGCGGCTCGTCACGGTGGACGTGGCCGGCCGGCGGCCGGTGGTGCACGTGTTCGACGCGAGCGCCGGCGGCGGCGGCGTCCTCGTCCACTCGATGGACATGATGGCCGCTGTCAGCCGGCCAGACACGGCCAAGCTGTACTTCGTGGCGGCCACCGAGACCCGCGTGGCCGTCACCGACCTTGGCAACAACGTGGTGTACCTGCTGAACTGGGAGGGCCGGCTGGTGGCCTGTGTCGGCGACGGCGGGTCGCCTGGCACGCGGCTCTCCGACCCGGCCGGCGTCGCGCTGGACGCGGCCGGCAGCCTCCTGGTGGCCGATTCGAAACACCACCGCTTGCTGGTCTTCTCGGCAGATGGCGCGCCGCGCGGCAGCGTCCGTGTTTCTCACGAGCTGAACCGGCCGTCCGGGATCTGGCTGGACGGCCGGAATCTGCTGGTGCTCAACTACTGGGGGAACACGGCGCACCGGTACACCCTCACGTTCGAGGATCAGGAGTAGGTGCAGCGTTGGCATGGCCGCGTTTTCGTTTCTTGACGCCTGAAGATGCATTTGTGTTTTGTCCAAATCTGCAGTATTTTTGTTAGCCAAGTTAATACATTTCCTACCGTTTGTTCGAGTTTGATAGCCCAGCTGGTAAGCTAATGTGGGACAAAGATGTGCGCTGACGAGCGGCACGTGTTTCTTGCCATCGGCATCTGCTCCACATTGCTGGCTGAAGGCCGGCACAATGTGTCAGGGTATCTTAAGTTTTGTTCGCCATCACGTGCTGGACCTTTACTGACGTGACTCACCTCACCTACCCCGCGGCCGCAGCCACTAACGGCGCCAGCCTGAAGTGGCGCGGCGAATGTGCCTGTTCCTTCCAATTGGGCGTGGTAGAGCGGAACTTCTACGTTTCACTAACTTTACTCTAAAGCAAGGTGTTTTTTTGGGCGGCCCCTACTTGTCAGTGACCTACTTGTCAGCATCACACTCGCTCGTGATGCCTTAATCTCCCGCACTTATCCCGCGTGAGGGCAAGAACTGCCATCGATCAGTGCAGTGCGTTGATTTGGAGCATTTCGCACCTTAGGCAGATGAGCGTCTTAGGAAGAGGAGGTACCGATACCAAATTGAGGGCGATTATTTCCATGCGTTGCCACATGGTCAATGCGTAGGATTTTCGGAAAGTTGGGGTACCGTGGCGCCGGCGCATCCCCCGTCGCTACGCCTATGCCTCACACGACGGGCTTGTTACGGGGGAGGCGCCCCACCAGCAGCGCTGCTGGGGCGTGTGTTAACATTGCGTCATTCCAGATGCGAGAGCCGTGCTGGGACGAGTGGACGGCAAACATCGGACTAGTCCCGGGCGCGTCCGAGCATTGTTCGTTTGATCAATGTAAAGCAGTTGAGGTTTTTTTTCTTACGGCGGGAAACGGGGCATTGGTCTTGTATAGCCTGAAACCATCGATTTACGCTAGGTGGATATGCATGTCACAACCGGCAAGGTATCGTTGTGAGACTGTTGCTTACAGTGCGGCAGGTATGTGGGTTACGAACGATCGCAATCCGCAGCGCAGAACCTGTTGGGCAATCACTCGCGACGGCGAAAGTAATAATCTCAGAGAGCCACTTTGCCGGTGAGAAATGGGTGTTCCTGACGCGGGGAGCGTGATTTGCGTCCTTCCAGGCGTGCGGCGGATGTTCACGTGGGTATTTTACCACATCGTCTGTTTCAGGAAGCTGCGGTTCCGCTTGTGGTCGCAAGATGGCTCTGAACATCCCTGGATGCGGCTGCAAGGCTCAGAACACGTGCCTTCAGTGCGAGCCGTTCTCGGCGGCCGCCTACAAGCCATTCGTCACGCCGTCTGACGGGCCGAGCTACGTGTTCTGTCCACTGTGCCGGCTGGCCTGGCCCGGCTGGGCGGGCGACTCGTGGCGCGCGCACCCGCACCACGCCGGCCGGTCGCTGCGCTTCCCCGGCGTGCACATCGTGCCTGACCTGCTGACCGCCGACGAGGAGCAGCAGCTGATGGCCGACATCGACGCCCTGCCCTGGGACGCGTCGCAGAGCGGCCGCCGCAAGCAGAACTTCGGGCCGAAGACGAACTTCAACCGGCGCAAGCTGAAGATGGGCGCGTTCCGCGGCTTCCCTGAGTTCGGCCGCTGGGTGCAGGCGCGGCTGGCGCGCGAGCCGGTGCTGCGTGGCTACCAGACGATCGAGCAGTGCTCTCTGGAGTACCGGCCGCAGGAGGGCGCCTGTATCGCGCCACACATCGACGACTGCTGGGTGTGGGGCGAGCGCGTCGTGACTGTCAGTCTGCTGAAGGACTCCGTGCTCACCATGGTGAAGTACCAGGGCGGCGAGGACCGCTACAACCTGCGCGACCGGCCGCCGCCACGGGCGGCAGGGGTGTCCGACCTGGCCGGCGCCGGCGAGGCGGCAGGAGCGGCCGACCCGCTAGACTGGTGGCAGCTGGAGCGGCCGCCGACTGTGCGGCTTCCGATGCCCCGCCGCTCGCTGCTCGTTCTCGAGGGCGCCGCGCGCTACGAATGGCTGCACGGTATCCTCCGTGAGGACGTCACCGAGCGGCGCGTGTGTCTGGCGCTGCGCGAGTTCACGCCAGCGTTTCTGCCCGGAGGCCAGCACGAAGCGCTCGGGGCTGAAGTCATCGCGCAGGCGCAGAACTTCTGGACCGTGCCGCCGGCCGCCGCCGACGCGGCCGCATGATGGCGCTGCGAGCGGTGGAGGCAGGCTTAGGCGGCGTCGGAATCACCTGCTAGGCTGTCTAGCGCGGGGTGGGTTGAAAACTGGCTGTTTCGTAGATTTCCGCTGAAGCGGATTAACGTACACTTGGTATTATTTGCAACGTTACGTTCAGCCATCGGAAGTTGTACTTTGGTGATGTTACAGGATGGCAGTCGAATTCTATAGCCCTGATGTGGGCTGAGTTTGTGGTGCAATGGAGGAGTCCGTCAGACATGTGAGGAGCAGGACAGCGTGCTGCTCAGATAGTCGGCTGCACTGGCCGTCGACATTTGATGATATGGCTGCCGTCTCATGCGTTTGCAATGCACGTGACAACAATCGGAGCGCGGCGTATCTGTAAACCGAGAGGCTCACGTGCCGTTTGAACATTGTTCACCCCGCTGCATATCAAGACTTCTACGAAGCGCGGGATGATTCATGTTTTGCGATGGCCTAAATAAACGTTTTAGCAGCCTATTATCATGATTATGCGTGTGCGCGCATGCCGACCAGATCTGGCGCGGAAGTTTCGTGTTTTGTGGTGTACACTGGGCGTAGCATGGCCTGCAAAGCTCGGCCTGGGACTTATCGAAATTGATTTCAAGAAATAGTGTATGTTGTGCCTTAATGGCGCATTGTTTGTGTACGCGCTACCTGTAAAAACGTGAAGGTTAGTTGGAGTTAACGGACGTGTTTGCTACTACCTTATAGGCTCGCCAAGGACAAGGAATGCCGTATTTTTTGTTGAAAAATAAATGTCTTGGAGCTCCATCTCAAGAATCAGAGGGCAAGGAGAAATAATGCTCGCCTGCGCATCTGAAGGTCTAGACAGGTGCCATAAAGCTGACTTCCTCAGTGCGGAATGTCCCCGGATCTGACCATACGTGAGAGCGGTCGTGTTTATCACGAATCAGGCGTGGCCGAGGCGGTGATTGGTCAACACCGTTCCTTAGGCTGCGACGCGAGCGAGTAGTCAGTGTTTATCAGCCAATCACGACTGCCTTTTCGGAGGACCTTTTGTAACAACCCACGCGCCTGGGAAAAGCCAATCACATCTCAACGTCAATAACTTGCTGAAAAGCAAGACGTGGGGTGCAACTAAACGTACGATTTCGGTGTGCATGAGTACCATATAAATAAATGCGAGCGCGGAGGGCTGCATGTGCTTAAATTTATTAATTATCCCAGGTTACGAGAGAACGAGCCTCAGAGCTGACTTCCTATAAACGGTTTGGCGTTTCGCGGGGCATGCCAGATGCGTCACTCCTGACCATCACAGATCCTTCACAAATCAAAGTCCAGCTCCGCGCGCTTCCCTGTAGCATGACGCACCTGGACTTCCTGCGCCTCTTGAAGCTGACGGTCTTCGGCCTTAACATCGTCTTCACCACACTGGGCGCGCTCGTCGTCAGCGCCGCCGGCTTCGGCGTGTTCCTGCTTCAGGACGGCGGCGTGAAGCTCCTTTCAAGCCCGGATGCCGACGACCCGGGAGCAGTGATCGTCGCTGCCGCGGCTACCCTCGCCCTGCTGGCGCTGGCCGTCGGTCTCCTGCTGCTCGTCGCCGGCCTGCTGGGCTGCTGCGGCGTGGCGCGCAGCAGCCGATCGCTGCTGCTCGGCCACGCCGGCGTGCTGGCCGCGCTGCTCCTGCTGGAGCTGGGCGCGCTCTGCGTGCTGGCGTGGTCGGTGCGCACCGCGCCGCGCCGCGCCGAGCTGGCCGCGCTCGAGCTGATCCGACGCGATGGTGTGGGCCGCCGCGTCGGCGCCGGCTGGGTGTCGCTGCACGCGGCGCAGCGCCGCCCTCCGCTGCTGTGGCGTGCTCGGCTACACCGACTACGTGTCAATCAACGCGTCCGTGCCCGTGTCGTGCTGTCGGGATGACGCGCCGTCTCCCCAAACCCCGGCGCGCTGCCGCTTCGACGGGCTCAGCGAGCGCCAGCTGCGGCTACACCCGCGCCTGCAGCGGCGCGGCTGCGGCGCGCTCATGCGCCGCGGTCTGCGCGCGTGCGCCGTATTCGGGTACGTGATGGCGGGCCTGCTGCTGGCCACCCAGATCGCCGGCTTCAGCTGCAGCTGCTACGTGGCGCTGACGCTGCGTGATGTACCTTGCTTGCACTCGTTCCGCTCGCGCTTCTACGAGTGAAGCCGCGGATTGGTGGACAGAGCGCCAGTGCTGGCGGACGGGAAGCCGCGCACCGACGGACGGTGCGCCAAGACTGGCCGACGGTGCGCCAAGACTGGCGGACGGAGCGCAAGACTGGCCGGCGGTGCACCAAGGCCGGCGGACGGGGCCCCGGGACTTCAGTGTGCTGTGAGATGGCAGCGGTTGAGGACGGCGTAAAGGTGATGGCGTTCACGGTGTTGGGAACGCGAACGCACTGGGCGCATGATGGCGTCCCGGCGATCGGGCACAGCAGTTAAGCCAATTGCTATGCTCCTTCTACCCAATGAACTGACATTTGGGTGATTAAATTCTTGAAATTTTGAATAAGTGCTTACGATGAACGCAGAAGCCGCGGTGGGAACATAAGCGATGGCGGGTTGCGAACGTCCGCTGCCACACTGTTGCCTGTTGCCACTGCGTCAAGCGCATGAGTGATACACTTCAACCCGTAACTGATCCACTCCAACCCAAAGTGGAATGCGCAACTGCATGACGCACTGCTCGTTGGCTCCCGGACCGAGATCGTGTACCGGTAGCGAGTCGCCAGCCACAGATTATTCACTGTCGGCGTGAGGGATTGCGTGCCGTGGTCCTGGCAACTTGCCAAGAGGATGATCCACCTGAACTGGTATACGTACCAGATGTAGATACCTAATACGAACAAAAAAGTTGCCCGCGAGTTACAGGTAGCTGGTACAGGCGCCAGGTGCCTAACGAATTAGTACATGTGTCCGAATAGGTTTGATTTACTCGTACATTCGGCAGTTGTAGACTGGAGAGTCGCCGAGATTTCATATTCGCAACGGTGGCGCAAACCATGCTGATAACGGCGATCTTGAATACGATTGCACGGAGGCTGTAAATAGACGTAGAAACTGTGAACATGGCGGCAAATAGACGTCCGCAAACCACAGGATCGCATATTTCCTCGCCACTTAAATCTGATGGCAGATCTAACAAGAGTGCGGTATTTGTTGAAATTATCCAGACCGGTTCCATACCACACAAGACGACTGTTAAAACTCGAGCACTAAATCAAGCAGCGAGTCTGACCCACAAACGCATCACCCCAGCGCCAGCAGTTTATATTGCATTCGAACAGATCTGGGCCGTCCGCCTAGCAACAGAGCCCGCGCCGGCTGTCAACAGCGAGGATGCCCAACCAAGGTCAAGGTCAACGTCACGGCCCCCGGCTGGGTGCACGGGACCAGCGCAAACACGCTCGCTCGCCACAACACAACGTACCGCCCAACACAAGCACACCGCACTGCGGGCCGTGTGGTCCGCAGGAGAACCACACACGGCCGCACACCGCACCGCTGGCGCACCACACACAGCCGTACACAGCACTGCACGACTGGCGCGGCCGCCCAGGCTGATGGGGTCTCACCAATGTCCAACAATACGCCATGCCCACTGCCATGCCCACTGGCGGACAGCAGGTGCCGGAGCTATCAGCCCCAGCACAAAGGCGTCCGCCGTTCACACGTCGCCCGCGGCGCGTCAGCGATAGGCACGCTGGAAATCCAACAAACGAAACAATTTACACACGAACAGACGCAGAATCTCGCGAGGCTGATTCTCTGATGCTTTCTCCACTGCCCTGACCCTGCTCAGCTGATTCTCGTGACGCTAGCCGCGGCCATGCGCGCTACTCTGGCGTGTTAACAGAGGCGTTGCTAGGATACCAACAGAAGACCGCGAACTGCTCGCCGGTGTGATTTGATGCCGGAAGTTCCAATAATCATCCCGAGCGCAGCGTCCGGCAGCTGCTCCAAACAGTACAGGCAGAAGTGGCAAGTCACGCTCAGAGGAAAGTGCGTCACAGAAGGAAGCTGGCGCCGCTTGCGGCCATGCCCTTGACGAGCAGCGCTCGTTTAATCCAGGTACTCTGAGCTGGTCGTAAGTGCTGACGGCGCCGACGCGACACCCGTCATTGTAGACATAACGATGTGGGGAAAAACATGGTTGCTAAGATACCGTCACCACGCAGCAAGTGAATAACTTTACAGTCCGGTGATGAGAACATTACTCAGCGGTGCTGAAATGAATGATCAGCTAGCGCATGGGCCGAAGTAGAGCTTTTGCCAAACACAAGCAAAGAAATCCTGCTCTTTCCATCATGACCGCAGCAAATCATGTGTCGCTCCACCCCAGCCAGAAGTCCAGAGTAGTGGTAATCACAGCGGCTAATGAGTGGCCACCCCACGCCAAACACCCCTCAGTCGCTCGCCACAGCTTCGGACTGCGCCAGAGTCGGCCGCCGGCCGCATCACAGGGTATGTCACAACCGGCCGCCGGCGCGCCGCCCCGCTCACGCGCAGTACACAGTACTCTAACACACGGCACCGCCGGCTGCCGCGGCCGACAGTGCGCGCTCTGAGGCTCTTCGGACGGCACGCGAGAGCCTGCACTACTGTCCACGGCTTACATGTCATCTGCACCTCGGGTGCAGCGCTGCCCGTCCTGGTGGCAAGGGGACAGCCGGCTGTCCTCCGCCGCCGGTGGCAAGAGGACAGCCGGCTGTCCTCCGCCGCCGGTGGTAAGGGGACGCCCGGCCCCCGGTCCCCGCCCCCGGTAAGGGGACGCCCGGCCCCCGCCGCCGCCGGTGGCAAGAGGACAGCCGGCTGTCCTCCGCCGCCGGTGGCAAGAGGACAGCCGGCTGTCCTCCGCCGCCGGTGGTAGGAGGACGCCCGGCCCCCGCCGCCGCCATCCCGCGCTTCGCTGCTCGGCGGGCAGCGCGCTACCATGACGACAGTAAGGTAGGTGCTGCCCGTCGCGCAGCAAAGGAACAAAGTAGCTGTCTCACCCAATAGCATACCCATCTACGTCACCAATACGGCACAAGCTCCCCTCCCCCTCCCCATATTGGGGAACGTTGCGGGCTGTGGAGGGCACCACTGGGATGGAGCCAAACAACAATACCAGACCTCTGGCACAGACCGTGTGCGGACCTCAAATGCGCCACTCTCCTGGAAGACCCTGGGGCTCGAGCAGGCCCTGTGCCGCCGCTCGCAGCGGCCTCACCGCACCTGGTCCAGCGCTCCAGCACGCGACGGCGCTGCTCCCGCTGTCCGCACCCCGGCCGCACTGGCACGAGCCCTGCGTCACCGGGACCCGCACAGCAGCCCCAGCGTCTCATCTGGCCCCGCGCAGCAGGCTGGTCCCTCTCACCACAGGCCTCTCACAGTCCCGAGCCCGGTCACCTTCGCGGCGCGGCACGGTAGCACCTGCACGTGAGACGTCCTCCGCCTCCGCCGCCGCAGCTCTTCTCCGACGAGCCGTGGGCGGGCGCGGACGGGCCGCCGCCTGGCGCCGCGCCGCGCCGCGCCGCGAGCGTTCACCTAGGAGCGCCTACGGCCGGCGGCCATCACGAGCCGTCGGCCACCAGGCCCTCGAGCCGGCCCCACCGGCGCCTGTCCAGCTCCTGCAGGAACTCGCGCACACGCTGCCCGCCGGCCGCCGCGTCCACGCACCCCGAGTCGGTCGAGTCGCTGGCAGAGTCGGGGCCCGAGTCGCCCGACTCCGGGATGGAGTCAGAGTCGGACAGCGACAGTGAGTCGGTTGTGTGTTGGAGTCGCGAGGAGGCGCGGTCGGCCC